CCTCTCTATAAATAATGAAATGAATATTCTGGAATCACAAAAGCAAGAAAGAAAAGATAAAAACAAGAATAGCAAAACCGTAAAAACAAATGGGAGCAGAATTTCAACAGAGAGGAAGATATAAATATACCGGTAGAAGAGATTTTGTATTGTGGATATTTTTTGTGAAAAGAAGCAAGAGGTCGGTTACTGTAGTGCCAAAAATATCTATCCTTGGCTCGGCTCAAAAATGGCTCGGCTCGGCTCGAAAAAGTCGGCTCGAAAAAGGCCAATCGGCTTGTGAACAGTGTTTTCAAAGATGAGTCTTTTAGTATAACTCTGGCATCCGATGTATTATCCAGTGGGCAAGCAAGTAGTTCAGGTGATGTCGACTTTGAGCTCTCTGCAGGTGATGCCGACTCCGACCTGTCCTCCCCATTTCTACTCCTATTAAACCGCAATCCTGCACTAGAACAGAGACAGAGAAAAAGGTCAAACACAAAAGCAATAGGGCTAAGGCAAACGGAACAACCATACAGAAAAAGAGGAAAATGAAGGTTTGAGGATTCTAATTGCATGTATAAATCTCAGTTTTTTTGCGATTTTTTTTTTGGGTTCTTCTGAAGAATTTCGAATAGGAACGAAAATGTGAAGAAGATAGATTGTGGAAAGTCTAAAGAAAGAAGAAAAATGTTGCGTGTGTCAGATGGGAAATTGAAAACGGGAGAGCACAGAGACCAAGAAGCAGGGTGCCGTGTGTGAGAAGAGAAAGGAAAATTAAAAATATCATCTTATATGGCTCGGTTGCTCGAAAATGACACACAACCACTCCCTTTTGTCTGTTAAGTGGAAATCAGCTCGGCCAAATGAGAGGTCAACCAGCTCCAAGCCGCCTCCAATTGGCCANNTGGCCAACCAGCTTAGGAACAGTGACACCAAAGTCACTCTTTTATTTATGTAGCGATATAGTATAATAATAATATAATATAATAATATAATAATAAAGTATAAGTAGGATAGGATGAGGCCTCAAGGTAATTTACTCCAATATGATGTTTTCTTGGCGAATAAAGAATAATTTCAAAAACAACAGCACAAAAAGAAAAGAAAAAAAAATACGTTGGAATACTGTTTCAGAGAGGTCTCAAGCTGGCAAACATGCACATACATTTAAAATTGTATTTAAAATTATTAATCTTTGCTTATTATAATATTTATATTTGTAACGATTTTTCATGTCATTTTTATCCTCAAACTTTCCATTAGTTAATATATTTTGTTTCTAATTATAGTTTTATGTCCAAAAGTTCGTTGAAATGGCGTATAAAGCAATTTATTTTTTCATCATAATTTTTTATTTAAAAAAAGTGCGAACATCTTTTTCCCCTAATTTCAAAACATAAAAATAAAATATTTTGATATAAATCATTATCAAGACAAGGCATACTAATTAATGGAAGACTACATATAAGAATTCGAGGAAAAAAAGTTAAGGAAATAATTGCTAAAATAAGCCAAGATTGGAGAGTTTAATTACAATTAAAACCACAATTTTTAATTTTCAGGTCTATTCCACATGTACAAATATATTCAAATCATAATTATTGTTAACTACACCATATTTTGATTGTATGTAAGGTTTTCAGTTTTTGCACATTTTCGCACTTATATTCTCGCTTTTATTTTTTATTTTTATTTTTATTTTTAACCTTCAACTAATTAACACATCTTGTCTTTGATGACATTTCCTATCTAAGCCCCTGTTTGACCCACATTAAAATTTTCATTCTCATTTTTCTATTCATTTTCAACCACACATTTTTCAATAAAGTAATATTTTTCATCACATCAATAAATTTTCCTTCCTTTTCAATCACAAATTATCCATGAATCTACTATTCCAAAATACATTCTTCCAAAATAATGTAGCTCAAACACACAATAAATATCAAAAAAAAATTGTCGAACTTTTAGGTTTATTATTATCTTACTTATTAAAAAAATTACGATGGACAAATAAATCTTTTTTCACTCCTACATGTTTTTTGGTCTTCATCAGAGAATATGTGATAATTAATAGAAGGTTGCTATGATGAAAAAAGTTGGAGATATAAGTACGAAATAAGCAAAAATCAAAGGTATTCATTACAATTAGAGGCTGTCTGGGAGCACTTAATTCAGCCCAAAAAATTTGCTTTGTGTACCGTTGAAAATGAAGACAAGCAGCCATTGTTGACTTATTGTGTCACAGGTGGGGCCCAGATTTAGTTGTTAACAGTAGGAAAATCAATTTTCTTGACAATTTAATCCCCACCAGACACAGCCTTAATGTTGGAAAAAATGTAGGATTTTTATTAAATCGTGTATCAACAAGAATGAAATAATTTGGAACAAAAATAAACACGTACATGTTTTAGGAAATACCCTTGTAGCGTGCGTTACAAAAAAAATTCCTTTCATCTTTGATCTCCTTGATTCCACCTTCAAGCCTCCTTGTTTGATTTTCTTGATTTTTATCTCCAAACCTTTTAGCCTTCTCTAGTGTTCTTCAAGAACTCAAAATAAACTGTAGGGTAATTTTTTGTGTGTGGGCACAAGAAAATATTTTCGCGTATTAATTAAACCACCACCAAAATGTACGTGCCTATTTTGTAGATTTGTTTCGCAAGTATTCCAATCCCAAAAGAACTCTCTTTTGATTGGATAAAAATTCCTCAACCAAAAAGGAATCTTTTATACT